CAGCGACGAATGTCGTTGTTTCTTCTTTTCACGAACTAATCTCTTGAAAGGCTAGGGATAACATCCTAAAGCAATTCCTATTCAGAGCCTTCGAGAAATACATCACCCGCAATGCTCAGAACGAATTTTTGCATGTTTATCATTATACTCGGACAGAGAACGAGCGCTTCCAAATAATAAGCACAGGATCCTAATGGCTTTCAGATGAAGATTCCGAGATCTCCCACTTATTGCTTCCATATTGTCATTTTCACTAGCCGATTTTCCTCAGATGCTTACAACGAGCTAGACATGAAGATGCTGATCTCGTATGTGTTTGGATTTGTCTGTCATTTTCAGGCGCAGATCTACCCCAGCTGCTCGGAACAGAAGGTTAATAACTTGGCAAATGAAGCTTTTCCGAGAAATTTGTAACAAGCACTGATCAGTCGTATGGCTTGCTTGGCTGGTAATAGTCACGATCCGATCTCCTCCAAGTTATCAGGACAGTATCGTAATAGTTGCCGGTGTGACGAGTCCATGAAAAATTTGTCATTAGCACTTACCAGTAATGACTCTCTTTCTTTCTAATTTTCACGAGCCCATCTCTTTTGAAATTTTCACGAAATTTGTTACACACCACCTGCTGGGTGGATTGCCAGTGCAAAGAAAAGCGGCCCTCCATCAGGTCAGCCAAAGGCGAGGACCAGGGCTCCGTCGGCCCAGTTCTTCAGTCCAACCGAGCGCTCCCCCTGCCCCCGCATTCAGATGTGTCTTTGCTAAAGCCCCTTACCACCGAGCCTTATAACGCTTTTCTCTCCCTTTGGGCTTGTCTCTCCCTCAGGGAGTCTACTCGCTCTGGTCCTCGGGACCGCCACTCACAGAGGGAATAAAGCAACCCTATTCGTTAGACCGGAGCCAACATAAAACAGGAAGTTTATTGAGCATCTGAACACAGCATATGAAAGTCTCAGGACTATCAATCCTCCCTTTGCACAGTATACCTAAGTGTCCCCTGCCTCCAGGTAGGCTCTCTGCCTTCTCTCTCCCCACAGTCCAGAGACCCTGCGCTTTTCCAGCTGAGCAGCCGAGATCACAGGCTCCAACCGCTCGTCCCTAGCCTTTCTGTTCCGTCCCACGTAAAAAGGGACCTGGGGCCCTCTAGCTTCAGCCCTTCCACGTCGGAATCCCTATGCCTGGGGCAACAAGGAGGGGTGAGGGGTACGCATACGAACACTTACGCCATATGGCTTACCCTTCTAGACCTGAAGCCCTAGGGAACAGAGCCCTAGATATAGGACCCCCATTCCCTAGGGCAGTGCGCGCTCCCCATAGGAATTAGAAGGCTCACTTCACTTTGCCTGGCTTCTGGAAACCTAAACCTAGAGTGGGGTCCTCGCCCCAAACAAAGTCTACCCTAGTTTCGAAACTGTACCTAGAGGAACCCTATCCCTAGTACTAGTTCTGTATCCCTAGCCATAGTCCTAGGCCTCTAAGCCTAACTCCAAGTGACTTCCCAATAAGAAATGCACTGAACCGTTATGCAGTTTGCTTCGCTTCAAATGTTCAAGAAACGATGATTCAATTAGCAAGTCGTTACAAGCAGTAATCAGGACAAAGTTCTGGTTAGTTAAGCTTAACAACCATATTACCCCCTAACGCTGACCGATTTCGAACCGCTTAAACATATAGGTTCCATGAGAACCTTTTTCCAGCAATGATTTTTTTCTGGTAATCTTCGATCTCCGAGTACCTGTGAAGAATTAGCACAGTAGCCTAAAAGTTTGAAAATGAAGAGCCCTTTAGAGCAAGCACGGATCAGTAATACGTCTTCTTTTGTTTGTAACGTTCACTGGCCGATTTATCCCAAAATGCTGAGGATGGAATCCACATTGCTTTAGAAATGAAGAGTCTCCGCACGGATGAGCACCTTCCATCCGATCGCGCCCACATTGTCGGAATCCCTATGCCTGGGGCAACAAGGAGGGGCGAGGCCTACGCATACGAACCCTTACGCCATACGGCTTACCCTTCGAGACCTTAAGCCCTAGGGAGCAGAGCCCTAGATATATTCCCTAGGGCGGTGCGCGCTCTCCATAGGAATTCGAAGTCTTACTTCACTTTGACTAGCTATTGGAAACCTTAACCTAGAGTGGGGTCCTCCGCCCACAGAAAGCCTACACTAGTTTGGAAACTGTACCTAGAGGAACCCTATCCCTAGTACTAGTTCTGAAACTCTAGCCATAGTCCTAGGCCCCTAAGCTTAACAACCCTATTACCCCCTAACGCTGAGCGATTTCGAACCGCTTATACATGAAGGTTCCATGAGAAACTTTTTCCAGCAATGATTTTTTTCTGGTACTCTTCGATCTCCGAGTATCTGTGAAGAATTAGCACAGTAGCCTAAAAGTTTGAAAATGAAGAGCCCCTTAGAGCAAGCACGGATCACTAATACGTCTTCTTTTTTTTGTAACGTTCACTGGCCGATTTATCCCAAAATGCTGAGGATGGAATCCACATTGCTTTAGAAATGAAGAGTCTCCGCACGGATGAGCACCTTCCATCCGATCGCGCCCACATAGTCTCCGAAGGGCTTTAAAATGGGGCTTAAATGTGCAATCTGTCATAAGCACTGATCAGGACTGCAGTTTGCTTGCTTGGCACTGTTCACTATCCGATCTCCTCCCAGAGATCAGGCCCTGTTTCCTAATGGCCTTACATGTGGAGAGTCCATGCGGTCCCACATAGTAGCCGAAAGGCTTTAAGCTGGAGAATCAGTGAGTAATTCATTTCAAGCAAGGCTCAGTTATATTTTGCTTTGCCTGTCATTTTTGACGAACCCCTAATGCTTGGGCGAGCCGCCCAACAGATGTGAAATTGAGCTTCTTAGAGAAATGTGTCACCTGCAGTGCTCAATAAGGAGATTTGCTTTTTTGGTAATGTTCCTGGGCCGATCTCTTTCAAATGATTAGGACAGTATCCTAATAATCAACACTGTAGTCGAATGGCTTTTAGGAGAAGAGTCCCTGAGAAATTTTCCACCAGCTCTGACCAGTTATGACTGTTCTTTGATTGTAATTTTCCCTAGCTGATTTTTCCCCAGCTGCTTGAGGGAAGCCAAATTGCTTTAGAAGTGATGCGTCGGAACAGTAGTGAGTTTGCTGTAGACCCGTACCACTTAGTCTTCTAACGCTTTTCTCTCCCTTTGGGCTTTTGTCTCCCTCAGGGAGTCGACTCGCTCTGCTCCTCAGGACCTCCACTCACAGAGGCAATAACGCAACCCTGTTCGTTAGACCGGAGCCAACATAAAACAGGAAGTTTACTGAGCATCTCAACACAGCATTGGAAAGTCTCAGGACACTCAGTCCTCACTTCGCACAGCCCTAGGGAACAGAGCCCTAGATATAAATCCCCATTCCCTAGGGCTGTGCGCGCTCCCCATAGGAATTCGAAGGCTTACTTCACTTTGCCTAGCCATTGGAAACCTAAACCTTAATTATCAGAGGGGTAGCCGTGTTAGTCTGAATCTGTAAAAAGCAACAGAGGGTCCTGTGGCACCTTTGAGACTAACAGAAGTATTGGGAGCATAAGCTTTCGTGGGTAAGAACCTCACTTCTTCAGATGCATCTGAAGAAGTGAGGTTCT